ATCTGACATAAAACACATGTTTTCCCTTTCTCCATATGCTTTCCGAAACTGTTCAAAGAACCAGGTTCACGATGCATCATTCTCAGAATTCACTATGGCATAAGCAAGTGGAAGTATGTGACTTGATGCATTATTTTAAAAAATTATCATACAAATTGGAAACACACCTTATATCATATTTATTATTGAATATAAATGTAAAAGATTCAAAAAATGTTTCTTGGATCCATAGTGCTTGCAGTCAACATTGTACCACCATATGAGCCTCTTAAAGCTGCCCCATCAACCACTACAATTGGCCTACAATACTCCCAACCTCTAATACATGCTTCTAATGCAACAAATGCATATAAGAACTTATCACATTCGATTCTTTCTAATTTTAAAACAGAACCAGGATATGTCTGCTCCAATATGTATAGATAACCTGAAAGTTTTTCCGTTGTTACAAATAATTTTATAATTTGATATCTAAACATTACAACACAACAAATATACTAACTGGATACAAACTGAATACCAATTAGATTCAAATTAGACACAAAATGATTATCAATTGGATACACAAAGGAAAGCAAATGGATACTTGAAATTCAATCTGTAAACAAACTGCATGCCTAATGGTCACCAAATTGTTGCATTGCTAAAATTCATACCAATTAAGTTCATAAAATAAAATACAAAATTTAATTTGAAAAAAAATCTGGTATTTTAGCATATGACTCGGCCGGATCTCCATACACCAATTTTATTGCCTTTTCTTTAGCTCTCCAGACTTGCATATATGTCAGCTCAATCATGCACTTTCAACATGTCTTCCGCTATATCTTTTGGAGTGTATATAGTTGATGGATCAATAAATTTATCCATTATTAAAACAGCTACAACGTCAGTTACTCCCTGACGCCTTGCATACACTCTATCTCTAACGGAATAAGTATGTTCCGCACAATACTTTCTAATTTTGAATAGCCTCGATTGATTCAAACATGATGAATTCATTATCCAGGAACAATTCTCAGAAGGACACTTCAAGTAATAACTGTTTCAAAAACAAACAAAAAAAACATCCATCAAAAACTTATATACTAAATTCACTCAAAAATAAATACACATTCAAACAGTCAATTAAATCTTTACCAAGAAGAACTAGAACGAGATACAAGAAAGCTGAATTTTTCGACAATTTCATAATGCCGCATCAACTCCATAAGTGTTTCTTTATCCTTGTAAATTTGATTTTCAGCTATAAACAAATTAGAAAGGTCACTGATTATTCCATTTTCTTCATCAGTATTTTCATCGACAACTCCATCTAAATTCATTCCTATCAAGCGGATGGAGTTGTTGGAGTATAAATCAAAGTTAGTTAGTGTTCTACTAACATCATAATGTCTCCTATCCACAATAACTACACAATCCTAATTATCCATTGCTATATTCTTCAAAGTTAAGCACAATAGATATTTCGTAAAGAAACCTACATTAGCTTTCTTTTGATCTAAAAAAATCCGCCCACCAACATCATTGTGGATACTAACAGGTGGACATCAATCACTAACTATATATTTTATCTCTATATCATTAATAATAACATCTATCATAAGCTGCGATGTTATCACACTTACTAGACCACTATACAAACTAGAAGATTCATATATAATCCCCTCCATCTGAAAATCAACATATTTTCCTGTTTCATTAAAAAAAAAATAACAATTGGTCTTAGATATTATAAAACAATTAGAAATATGTTGTATTTACAGTAACTTTCCATACCGAATACAATACAAATTTCATCCACAAAATTCATTATACTAACACAAAAATTATACACACTCATCGTTATTTTTTCATACAAATATCATTCAGATGGTATACCAAAATTCATACCACAAAGCAGATTACATAAAAAAAAACATTTCACATGTCATACCCACTTAATACACATCTCATACACTTAATAAACATGTCATACCCACTTAATACATATTATGAACATTTCACATGTCATACCCACTTAATACACATTTCATACCAAAGACATTACAAATTTCATCCACAAATTTCATTCTACTAACACAAAATTATACACACTCGTCGTTATTTTTTCATACAAATATCATTCAGACAGTATACCAAAATTCATACCACAAAACAGATTACATAAAAAAAATATTTCACATGTCATACCCACTTAATACACATTTCATACAAACAATCATCCTTCATACCAAATAGTTCTAGAATAATTCACACCATATACCACATTATATATAAATATTTCACATTTTATACCAATTTCATACACCTATCATACAATTCTACAAAATTCTTACTAATACTTTTTACTCAATATTGAACACACTTTCATACCAATATCATTTCATGTACACTACCAAATTCATTCACAACTATACATTTTATCTATGTTTTCAGGAAAAAAAAAAGTATTCCATATTATAATTTTAATCTACATATCTAATCCATATCATTATTATTATTATCAAATTGACTAAAGAAATACCTATATCATAACAATTTTACAACAAATTTCATACTTATTTTCCACAACGATAAAATTATTTATATTCTATAAATTTATACTCAAATCATTCATATATTGCGTCAATTTCTCACAAAATCATGATTTTGATAGTATACAAAATAACCAAAAAAAAAAAAAAACAGAAACATATCAACAAAATCACTAATATTACAGTTTCACAACAATTAATACGCATTATGAACAAAATGTATTGTTTATACAAAAAAACATCTCAACTTAAATATAGTGACGATTTACAAAAACAAAATCACAAAATGTGTTTCAAAGTTTCATTATTGTTTTTTTTTTTCATTTCACTGAAATACAAATACAAACAATAAACCATAATAAATACTAACATGAAGGATCCCATCTTCCACCATGTTTAATTAATATTGATAAGTAGTTGTCCATCACAATAAAATCAAGATTTTTCAAGCAAAAAAAAAATTTCAATTAATCTCCAGTGACAAGATTTCTGGAAAAAAATCGGATAGAGAAAAACGTGGAAGAAAAATGGATAAAATCAGAATTTTAAATTAATTTTAACAAATTAGAGTGAATTAAGGAAACTGAATATTCTTAATTAGTTTAAATTTTCTTAATTCATGCTAATTAATAATTATCTTCAATCAATTCAAATTTAATTAACACCCTTAGTTCTGTTTTTTACCTTTTTTTCTTCAGAAACAATTTTTTTTTTATCTTTTTTTTTTTCAAAACAAATGTTTTTCAATTATTAAAAAAAGCTTTTTTTTTAATAAACTATTACAACCTGAAATTTTTAATGTTATAATTTGAAAGTTTAATTCTACTGCTATAACTTGAAAATATTAATCTAATATGTATCATATATTAAATTTTTCACTTTTTAATACATAAGCAGGCTTGTTCTTGAACCAAAAACCCTAACCCGGCCCAAATAACCCAACTAAAGACCCCAATCCCATCCCTATTTTCATTCAATCAAGGGAAAAGGGTCAAAAATGCCCTTGTACTATGTGAGAAGATAAAAAATGCCCCTCGTTTATACTTTGGTTCATTTATGCCCTTATTGCTAGAGAAATGGGCCAAAAATGCCCTTAATGAAACGGAAGTAACGGCAACTTCTTAAACAATTTAATTAGTCTTAATTAACATTTTCACTTATTAGATTTTTAATTTTTTTTTTTTACCCTGACCCATTTACCATTTAACCCGGCCCACCCTTCTATTTATTCTTCTTCCAGTCATTTCTAGCTATGCTTCTTCCTCCATTTTCTCACAAGATTTAATTCTTCCTCTTTCAAAACCCTAGCCCCCTCTTCTAGATTTCTCAAATATTCTTAATTGGATGTAACTTTTTCTTCATTTATAATGATATTGAGTTTGCTCCCGACATTTCATTGTTTATGGAATGTCTCAAGGTTCTAATTTTTCATATAGATATAAGAGCATATGCTATTGTGGAATTGCAGCAGTACTTATTTCATATCGTGGATTCCTTCAAATTCAGGAAGAAGTCTTTTCAGGCTGCTAAGCCTGATGTAGAAAAAAAAGTTTCTTGTGAAAGCTGTGGATTTCTTTTGAATTTTTTTCACGAATGATGAATTTAATTTTATCTTTCGTTACGACATTATTAAAGATGGAATAAGATGAATAGTTAGCCCCCATGCTCCCAACTCTTAAATGATGAATTCACCTACAAAATCATATTTTTGTTGTAATTTTTCTTTACACTGTATTTTCCTTAATTTCTCACAAACAAGTCTCATTTACTCTCTAAAACATGAATTATCCAATATTAAATTATCATCGTCTCATGAGTTTCATAAATAAATATTAGTACTAGTTAGAAGTTGATTTCGAATTTGTTTGGATGCTGAAAAACAAGTGGTATTGTTGCTGTTTCTTATTTGTTTGGATGCTGAAAAACAAGTGGTATTGTTGTTGTTTCTTTGTTTGGATGCTGGAAAACAAATGGAATTGTTGTTGATTAGTGCCATAAAGTAGGTAATGGATTATGGTGATACAAATTTCAGAGCTGCGAATTAAAGAATGAACATTCAGTGCCCAACATCCAACCAAATGAAGGAATTATAAGTTTTAGCAATAAACCATTACACTAAAGAAGAAGATTCACTGCACATCACAACACCAAAAAGAAGCAAGTACTAACAAGACCAAATGTTAAACCATTAATCTAAATAGAGGAACAAGTATTCACTTTAAACCATTACACAAAAAAAATGCAGATTCACTGCACACCAACACCAAAAACTGTCAAACACAAAACAAGTTCTAGTGTCAACTGTCAACAAGACAAGTTACACCATCCAACCAATTCACATCCACATTTTAGTGGTCAACTATCACCAAGACAAATGTGAATTTTAAAAAGAACCACCAAAACATTTTCTAAGGTAATATTTCAAGTCCATTCAAGCAAAACATTAAGTACAATTCCTAGTCTTTAAAAGTTAACATCATTGTCATCAATATTATCTGGAATTCCTTGTCCCTTTCTAGCCATCATCTTCAATCTCTTTTTCTTTCCTTCATTTTGTAGCTGATGAAGTGTAGTTGCTGCCTTACCTTTCCAAATAGTTTTAGTTGGTGAATAAGGCAAATTTATCGGTAATGACACTCCACTAGCATCTCCAGTAAATCCAATTCTCCTTGATCCAATTGCTGGCTTAGGTTTATTCTGTAACACACCAGAAAATTTTCGAACTAAGACCCGAACCTTTCTTCGTAGTGGGTGAGATTTTTGCAAGGAATTAAAAATTTCTTAAGTGTTAAGGTCATTAGATGTAGCACCTTGAGTTCCAAAAAGAATTAAATTGGAAATAGCAAAATATGAAATTTTGTAAGTTAAGCTAAGTATGAGTTTTGGGTCGACTTCAAACGACCATAACTCATAGCTCAGGATGATTTAGGTGTACTACCATATACTGTAGGAAAGATATTTGATTATCTTTCCAACGCCGCTGAGTTTGCTAAGTTTCGAGGTCAGATGAGGGAGATATGGCCTTTTGAAGATCGGCTGTCCAGTTAAGGAAAGTTAGCCGAAAATAAAGAGGGGTATTTTGGTCTTTTCCTTACCCAACCAGATTTAATTCGTTTTTAGTAATATTTTAAGGGTCTAATACTATTAGGTTCAGTTTTATAATCCTAAAATTGGCCTAGGGTTTTAGTTGAGAGTTCAAGAAGAGAAAAGAAGAGAGAAGAGGAGAAAAGAGGAAAGGATCAAGCGTTCGTCGAGATTCTTGCGTGTTGTAGCGGATTTTCGCCATGGGTTTGATCCCTAAGAGGTATGTAAGCTTCCATAGTGTTGGGTTCTTTCACCCACACGCCAATCATGATTTAATCAGCGTAATTTCGTTCTTGAAATTTAAAGATTAGAGTTCTTGATGAGTTCTTGATAAGTGTTCTTGAAGTTTCATTAAGTTTTGAAGTAAGATTCTGCTTAGGTCAACTTTAAACGACCATATCTCTTAGAATATTAAGAGTTACGTGAGCCATAACCTATCCAATTAAAGGTAATTGAATCTACTTTCCAACCCCACCAGTTTCACGTCAATCCAATAGATGAGTAAAAAGTTATGACTATTTTAGTAACCTATACAGTGCTGTTACGAATTAGCCGACGGGAAAATAGTGAAAATAATCGTTTTTGTCTTTTTACCTCCAAGAAAACCATCAACGAATTTCTTGACTAATAAAAAGCTCAAAACAATCAGATTTTCATCTTCACTCATGAAAATCATAATTTTTTGCTATAGAGATTTTAAGAAACTAACTCGAGAATCTCAAGAAAGGTTTTCTTGATTGTTTACCTTCAAGCTAGGGTTTCAAGGCTTCTAATCAAGTTCTTCTTCAAGATTCTTCAAGAATCTTGTTCTTCTAGGTATGTAAGATTATCATAGTGTTGGACTAGTTCATCCTTACGCCCTACATCTACTTTCAGATCAGTAAAAGAGTAATTTAGGATACTTTCCCTAGATTTGAGTATTCTTGAGATAAGTTGATTTTGAGTTCTTGAATTCATGTTTCTTTTAAAAGTTATATTCCTAATTATCGAATAGCTATATTGTTATTGAGATCCTTCATATCATGAATCATAACTCTTGAATTCATAATTCAAATTCAAGAGAGAGTTAATAGTAGAGTTCAAGAAAGCCTTTGAGTTCAATTGTGAATCCTTTGAGATCAACTATCGATTTGAACTAAGTTTTGAGGAAGTAAGTCAGAGAATGAGAAGAGTCAAATACATGAGTTTCATAATGTTATGTAGACCTACGAGTCAAGTCGTTCATGCCCATAAATTCCGCATGAACTCCAGAAGTTGAGTATCTTTGAGAGGAGTAGTATCTTCAAGTTCTAAGTCTTGAGTATTTAGTTCCTAATACCCTTTGAGATTATATTTCTAAGCATGGGACTATTACATGTTACCCATAAAGTCTTTGGGTTGAATTGTTCATGCCCATAATTCCGCATGAATCTTATAAGTCGAACAGTCTTGAGATGAGAGGTATCTTTGAGTCATTGAGTTGAGTAGTTCATGCTCATAATTCCGCATGAACTCTGAGTTGAGCATTCTTGAAATGAGTAGTATTATTGAAGTTCTTGAGTTCCAAGTATTTGAGTTCTATCTGTGGTTATTGAAAACCTTGCATTGAGTCGTTCATGTCCATCATTCGACACGAACCACATTTCAAGAAGTCTTTTACAAATGTTTTACCTTTTGTTTTAAAACTTAAGTTTTGAGTTCAGTAAAGAGTAAAGAGTAAAGTTTGAAGTCCTTTTCTTCAAAAGTATATGGTGACTAAGTATTCCCAAAGAGTTTATAAATGTTTTCACATTTAAATAAGAACGGAAACTGAGATTTCCAAAGGGCCTTCGGGCTAGTTTTCAGAAAAGAGTAATAGCTTTCTAAATGAAGCAAGTAGGGAAACTGAGATTTCCAAGATAGCCTTTGAGCTAAGTTTTTGAGCAATTATCTCAAATCAGCAGAAAGAAGTATGTTTTTAAAACATAAGAGCTAGTATATTTTTGGGAGTAGTATTGAGCACCGATATGGAGGAGAGTTCAGACAACTCACAGCCCCCATAAACCATGTAGCCATCATGGGTAGAAAAGGGTCATACTTTTTAGATGAACCCTTTTCACATAGACTAGTGGATCCATTAGTAGTTTAGGTCCTATACCTTTGGCCGGGTATAGGATGCGCTGGCAGCGTGAGGTAGATCGCTGTATCATCACTATAGCTCTTATGTGATGGTTGTCGGTTAGAGAAACTCCCACAGAAGTTATTGTATTTTTATATACATCAGTTTATTGTATTTTTATATACATTTCAGAGTTATGTTGTATCCTTGCATACACACAGATTTGACAACATGTTTTTAAACAGTTTGTTTCTTTATATTGCACTTGTTTTAAATTGCTTTATATTGAAATGAGTTCAGTCATATTTAGTTGAGTATTCAAAGTTGAGTATCCAGAGTTGAGTATCCAGAGTCGAATATCATATCTTTGAGTCGAATATCATATCCTTGAGTTGAGTATCTAATCTCTGAGTTGAGTATCTTATCCTTGAGTACTTCTGAGTTGAGTAAGTTTGAGTAGTTTGGAGTATTCCTTGAGTTGAGTAAGATTGAAAACAGGCAAGTATGTTTCCTTTTTATCAAGTTTCAAGCTTATGTTTATGTTTTAGAATTCCCCTTACATGCTCGTACATTCCACGTACTGAGCCATTTGGCCTGCATCATTTCATGATGCAGACACAGGTATTCAGGATCATCAATAGGAGCTTCGTTGATACACCCGAGAGTTCGAGTTAGCTATGGTGAGCCTCCTTGGTTTCGGAGGATTTCATTTACCTTTCAGTTATATCAATTGTTAGGATGTCGTGGGTCTTGTCCCGACTTCCATCTTTATCAGTTAGAGGCTTCATAGATAGTCAGTATAGTTGAGAAGTCTGTATCATTTATTTTATTAAATGTTTTAAAGACTAAAGTTTCCTTTTTATGGCGAGTTGTATATATTTTATTATATAGAGTTTTCTTTGGACTTAAAGTTTGTATTTAAGTTTTATGAACTTTTATTTAAGTTTTTAAGCTTTGTATGCTTGAATCAGTTTTCCGCTTGTAGTCAACCAGGATGAGGGTTCGCTTGGGGACCAGCAATGGTCTTCAAGTGCCGGCCACGTCCAGGGTGTAGGCTCGGGTCGTGACATATTCTTTCTCTCTTCCAACCTTGTGACTTCAGAAACAACCATTGGTCTAAGTGATGGGTATTCTTCAGTACAGACTTCAGGACCATAAGGTTGTGTGGTTGAATAAACTGATTGTTGTGTCCCCACTTCAGTTTGAAACTCTATTTCTGCTTCATCATTTGTGTCACCTGAATGATGTACCATTGGAGTTGAGGTTGTATTACTACATTTCTTTTTACAATTTTTTGAACTAGAGCTAGCTCCTTGAGTATTGTCCTGTCACCAAAGGAAAGACATATTACTTTAGTTCAGGCCATTACAATATAGTTAAGTTACAAATTAGATGCTTACATTATAACAACCCCTTGAATTATGGTTAGGTTCACCACATTTTTTACAATGCATGGTTGATCCCTTCCTGGATTGACTCCACTCTCCCTTTCTTTTCCCTGCTTCATCTGGTACTCTATCTCTTTTAAGTTTGGGCCTGCCTACAGTCTTCACAGCTTCTGGTGGTTCCATGGCTTGGGCTGGATCGACTTTCCAAAATTTAACTCCCCTAACAGGTTGTATTTTGTTCTTGTAAGTTAGCAAATAAGCCTCCTTACAGTAATACCAGTGTATTTGTGTTCCTGGTTCAACCTTAAAAGCCAACAAGACAAAAATGAATTAAAAATTAAAATAAGCAAATGAAGACAACAAGTTGAAAAGGCTAAAATTGAGGATAAAATACCTTATCATACAACATGGCCTTGATAGCATGGGGGCATGGTATTCCCGATAAGTCCCAAGCCCTACATGTGCATCTTTTATCCTTCAAATTAATTGTATGTCTATCATCACCTTTTGTGACTTCGTAACCAAAGTCACCATTAAACTCAACCTTGCATCCATGAGCAATTGCCCTATAAACATTGTATAGCTTCATGCACGGTGGACTGAAATTTCCCTTCCAACTCCTAACTTTTGCTTCATTAGAAACCAACCTTCTCATAACCTTCAGCCTTATTTCTTCCAACATTTTGATGATAGGCATATGCCTTGCTTCCAGAATCCATGCATTAAATGACTCAGTGAAATTATTGTCAACCATGATATTTTTACATTGAGTATCAAAGTATGCCCGACACCAAGTTTGAGGTTTATATTTCAACAGGTCTTTGGCAGCTTCTTCATCTATGTCTCCTAATTTTCTCAATTGATCTTCAAAGTCTTCAACATATGTGGCCCATGCACACCACCACATAAGTTTCTTGGCTTGTCCACTCCTCCACCTTTTACACCAATTAGCCTCAATATGCCTTACACAATATCTGTACTTAGCTTCAGGAAACACACTCTTCTTAGCATCAATTAACCCCTATGAAGTAAAAAAAACAGCCAACATCATTATTAGTTTTAAAATTGAAAACAAACATCAGTATATTTGTTTAGCTCAAGGATGACAATTTTGATTATCAATTAAAACATAAGGAAAAGACGTAAGTTTTACCTTTTGCATATCTGAGATGAATGTCACTCCATGTCCATCTTTAAGATTCAAAGAACACTTCAAAAGCTCCAAAAACCATTCCCATGTCCTGCCTGTCTCCTTATCCACCACTGCCCATGCAATAGGATAAAAATGGTTCATACAATCTTGACCCGTAGCAACTAATAGTTGCCCCTTATATCTTCCCTTCAAAAAAGTACCATCCAGCCCAATAAGTGGTCTCAAACCACTTTTCCATCCATCCTTCAATGCTTTGAAACAAATGTACATCCTTAAGAACTTCCTCTTTCCTTGTAAAAGAGCTTCTTTTGATATATTGATAACAACATCACTTCCCGGATTAGAAGTTCTAAGTTCTTGTCCATATGCTTCAAGTTTATTATAGTCATCAAGAAAACTCCCTTCTAGTTTTTCAAGAGCCAGCCTCTTAGCCCTTTTAACCTTAGATGTAGACACATTCATGTTAAAAATAGTCTCTAACTCTTCACACATGTCTTTTACCTTAAATTGAGGATTATACTGAACTTTTCTCTTGAATAAATGTGCTAGTGTGTTAGCATTAGCCCTCGGATTTTTATAAGTAGAATCACATGTATGTACTGAATTCAATGTTTTGATGGAACAAGTACTACTTTTCTTATCCTTTGATACTAAAACTGTGAAGGGGCAGCCTTCAACACATTTATACCCGGCCCTAGTTGTATCGGTTTTCTTCACCCTTAGTCCATAACGATTGGCCATTGCATAGAAGCTTATTACCCTTCTAGCTTCCGGGATATCCTTAAATGTTTGCCCTTTCTCTAAAACTTTATAATTCTCCAAAGTATCAGTCACACCCCTTCTTTTTTCTTGGCTAAAGACCTCAAGTTCTTCCTCATTATAATCATTAGAATCTGATTCGTCAAATTCACTAGAACTACTTTCTTGGTCAGAAACTACATCAACATCCACAGTATATGTCTCAGTATGATATGTGATGTTTTGAGCAAAAATACTCAAATCAGAAGAATTTACAGCAAAGAAATTTATCACTCTAAACTTCTTACTGAATAAGTACTGCAAAGTTCTCATACCGTCATCGTCTGTCACCAAATAATACCTTCCAGAAGGTCCAGTTACTAAAAGTTGATTTACTTTAGTGAACCCTAAATTCTTTGTGAACTCTTCGCAAACATCAGCAAATCTAACATTATTGGCTTCATACCCAGACAAAACATTCACCGAATTCTGATTATATAATAGCTCAGGAGAAATTACCCATGTACCCCCGTAGTGAAAAATCAAGTCGACTTTGTCAATCATCTTCAAATTCAACCCAAGAAAAAGGAACAAAGAAGGGCCCATGTCAGTAACTACACAATGACAATTTTAGTTCAAAAAAATCATAAAGAATCTCATATAACATAATAAAAAATTTTGGGACCACAAAACACCAAACAAAATCATAAAAAGATGAACTTTATCTCTAAAACTAAGTTCTTTTATGTGAATATTAACTGACAACAACATTATACTACACATAACCCAATAATACTTGATTTTGACAAAAACACACAAACCCAATTTGATTCTGACCAAAACATCCTAATCCTACATTAAAATATGATGAATATTAGTAACATACCTTGAATCTAACAACTTTATATTTTATGAGAAACTTGATTGTCTTGCTTCAAAGGTTGATAAAATCCTCACAATAAGAAACCCTAATAAGAAGCGTAGTGTTCATCTGAACTACAAGCAGGAGAGTTTATCTAGAAATGACTGGAAGAAGAATAAATAGAAGGGTGGGCCGGGTTAAATGGTAAATGGGTCAGGGTAAAAAAAAAAAATTTAAAAATCTAATAAGTGAAAATGTTAATTAAGACTAATTAAATTGTTTAAGAAGTTGCCGTTACTTCCGTTTCATTAAGGGCATTTTTGGCCCATTTCTCTAGCAATAAGGGCATAAATGAACCAAAGTATAAACGAGGGGCATTTTTGATCTTTTCACATAGTACAAGGGCATTTTTGACCCTTTTCCCTTCAATCAATTTTGAACCACATAATCGCCGCCTCTAGGACGTCGGGAAAAGACCAGCGAGACCTCTGCCATCGCCGGAGTTGTCTCCTCCACCCTCTCACGCCTCTTGGAAGCTTCTCACAGTTACAAATGTCGAATAGACCTCAAGAAGGAACACATCTACACTAATATTTAGTTTTTCTGATGTAAAAAGAGCCTATATTGGCTCTGTTGAACAAGCATTTCAATGGTGAAGACTCGAGATTCACTGATTCGTTGTCTCGGAGAAGGTCAATAATCTCCCTTTTACTTACTTTCCATTCTAGGTCTTTAAATGAATGTGTGGATGAATAAATGTTCTTGCCCGCTCAATTAATTTTTTGTTGTATTTGATAAATAAAATCAGCATCTAAAATTGCTAATATGAACTGAAAACCTTTTTAAAGAATCACTGATAAGTTAATTTATTGATATGTAATTAACATTGTTGCTAGTCTAGTTTGTGTGTTGAGAACCACTTGAATGTGTTTTACTTCATTCTTGTATGAGAGTTTTAAAATTAACTTGAACATTTAGGAGAAAGCCACTGATTCATATAAGAATTTAAAGTTGTCGAAATTTGTGACTAGCTGGAAAAATGTTATGGCTCATCTAAAATCTATTTCCAAGGATTTGATGTAATAAGATTTCTTTTATCAAAGCTTAAATCTAATGCAAGTACAAGTTTCTGAATTTACATAACTAAATACCATGTAAAGACTATATGTTGGTGAAATGCTTCATAGTATGATCATACAAGTTATATGATACACTTATAGGAAGGAACATAACTATATGTTGTAGTAAAGTAATTTCTTTGGAAAGAAAATGTAGTTTTCCTTTGTTCCTTTATGGAATACGATTTTGGATATGATTAATATCTAAGAAGATTAAGTTATGGATGTATCCAAAGTTGAAAAAATCAAAGAAGAGTTACATGATGATGATGGAGATGTCACTAGAAAAAAATAATGATATGGAGTGACAAAACACATTTACTACAATCAACTATATTTTTATTTTTTGATAATTTAGTTTGAGTGATTGGTCATAGATTCAGTTTTAACGATATGCTTGTGATGACTTTAGCTTCTTTTTAACTTGGCTAAACAATCAGCTCTTCAAGTGAGATACTTCTCAACTCCAATTTTTGTGCTTCTGCAATTTTATAATATTTATTCATTATTTTGTTTCTATGAAGTTTTTTGCTACTGATGTCGATTCTATGAATTACTTAGGAAGCTGAGATGAAAATTAAGATGGATTGGAAGTTGTCAGAAGAACAAGGACAAATTTCGATAGAAGTAGATAGAATTCTCCAAGAACAAATTAGATTAGAAGTGGACAAAGAGATTAAAAGCGGTGGATTCTATAATGTCGAGAATTCAACAGGTAACACATTGGTATCTATTTTGACCTTTTGTTATAACTGCAACTCTTGAGCACAAGTGGACAATTGTTAGTTCTCTGTAATAAATCTTGAGCTATCCAACATCATCCCCCAGATGCACTTCTTCATTGTTTCTCTTCTTGTATGGAACTAGCTTGTTTTCATCAATTTTGTGAAGGAATTGGAAATCAACTTATAAATAGAATGCTTTTGGTGAACTCGGAGTTGAATTTATTGTACCACCAGCAAATTTGGTGATGTCAGCTTGTGCACTGTCCCTTTTTCTATTATCGTTCTTTTATAACCATCTCTTTTCTATTAACATTATGATTATGTTAATAATAGAAGTGATCTAGGGTATTTTCCTGATAGGGGCAAGGTTCTTACATTATCCCAAAAGCCCTCGACAAAGGAGGGGAGCTTGAAGACACTTAGGGGTCGTTTGGTAGAGTGTATAAAAATAATGCAAAATATGGTGCATTAGTAATGCTTGCATTAGACTAATGCAAACATTATTTCTTATAGAATGTTGGTTTGATGTATTAGAAATAACAAATCTTGCATAATTTATGTTAAAAAAATATATGTTTACTAAAATACCCTTCACCACTTTATTTATTTGTACACTTCCTTTGCAACAAAGTTTTTTTCTGAAACATCAAAAAAAAATTCTTTGCTAAAACATCATTAACTCTTCTTCTTCTTTTTTTTTTTTATAAAAAATAATATTAAATAGTTGTACTATTGCGTCAAAATATTTTTGTGAAAAGTTAGCAATTTTTTTTTTTTTTTAAATCAAATTTATTGCAATAGTAAAATTTTTGATTAAATTCTGAAACTAAAGAATTCCTTATAGGGTCAACTTACCAATCGCTCTATTTTCTCTTTTTTCGTATCGCTCATGATATATATCAACACTCGGACATATTCATCTCTCCATTTTCTGTGAAAGGGGGGCAGGGAGCATAATTTCATTCCCAACGGGGGATCTTTTTTATATATTGAAATTATATTTAAATAAAATAATACTTGCGAGGCCATAAAGCCTATTAACACACCAATAAATTATAAGACATTGAAAGGCAAATAAAATAAAAATAAAAACGTATGACAACAAAGAAATGAAAAGATACTAGTGCATGAGAAAATGCTAGGAAATGTTTTAAAAAGGCTTTGAGGGTAGTTTTGTAATTATTTAATATAATGCAAGTGTTAAAATGCTATGTAGTACTAATGCATAGAATTCCTTGGTATTAGTAATACACAACTCAATACACAATAGAGTGTTTAGTTATACATGGCATGAAAAAATGTACCAAACAAGGTGCTACTAATACACACCTAATGCATGCATTATATTTCCTAACTACACACAATTCTAATAGTTAATTTCCGTTTTCATTTGTGTAGGCATAAATGACATTGAACAATGAAATATTGTGAATTACATATTTTGTTGAGATTTTTAGTAATAGAAGTACTTGTTATATCTAGTTTAAGGATTATTTTTGTGTTTCTTGAATTACAATGAATGATAATAATATATTAATAGGTAATTGACAAAATATACGAGTATATATTAATTTTAGAGGAAATTTATTAGAATTGACTATTGCAGTTGAAAAGATAGGTTTTGTGGCGACAAAATTTGTCACAAATAAATTATTACCAGTGGCAATTATTGCCACAAAATCTCAAGATTTAGTGGCAATTAGAGTTTCCATTGAAAGTACTAAACATCTGCGGCAACATAAGTCGCTACATCCTTTCTTTAGTGGCGATGAGAGTTGCAACTAATAGTATAAGACCTTTTGTAGCGACTATAATAGCCACTAAAAGTCTAACTTCAGTGACGACTTACAAAACATGTATTTTGTGGAAGCTTTTTTTGTGGCATACTTGGTTACTTTTAGTCGCCACAATTTTAGATGTGATTATTCTGTATTTATATATGATCATGAATTTACTTTCTACCAATTTTTTAAAAACTTTGTTTCATTAGTTCTATAATTAGTAGTAAATTAATTGTGGTTAAAGTTAATCGTAATTAATTAATTTGTATGTATTGATCGGATAATACAGGTTATTGAGTTAAGTAAAAGATACATATGGAGAATAAATTAAGATATGATCATCATCAAAAGGAGACAAAGTCAGCTAGTATGACGTCGTCTGATTTCGCGTTATAGTGGGGGAACAAAAAGAGACTTCGATGCAAGAAGGTACAAAATATTAACAATAATTATAATGACTCGATCGGTTCGGTGGCGATTCCGAAAATATCGGTTTGAGTTGATCGACAAGTTGTAAGAACCGATCTAAAAAATCAACCCGCTACCACCAACACCATCAGTAGTAACGCTTATTTGAATCTCCGGCAGCCAGCGACCTCTTCTCATCGAATTCTCAGGTGCATTTTTTTCTCTATTTTCCTTCTAAAATGCTTGTTTGGTGCATGATTATGCAACCTTCGACATACTTAATGGTGGAGCTAGATACTGCAAGGAGGTTCATAAAAAAATTTACTTTAATCCTCCTTACGATGATTAAGGAAAGATTATTGTGTGAAAAATTTACACTGATATAACTAGAGTCAAGTAATAATAGATGACCTTTAATTGTATCCTGATTTGTAATTGGTCATGTGGTAATGTTATGATCTCTTAAACAACGCATCTACATTTTATAATACCTCTTTTTATATACTTTAAAAGAGGAACAATTTTGAATGAAATGATTGAACGCAAGTGATCAAGTGTTTACCATCTTGAATGATTGAGGTGGATTACTATTGTGGTTGAAGAAGCTGCAAAATCCAGTGGTTCACCATAATTTTAGGCAAAGAAACTACGTAGCAAATATATTAGCTAAGCAAGGCTCTAGGTGTAGCACCCCGGATTCGAAAAAAAGAGC